CTGTGCCACCAGGGAGGGCCCGCAGGCTTGATTTTTAAGAACTTGCTGCAACAAATACATCCCTACGCTTCAGGGATGAAAAGGGACATGACCAAAACAAGAAATGCCCAATTATAGCACACAGTGGTACTTTAGTCAAAGAAATGAAGAAGCATGTGGACTAGTGTCAACCTGTGGGGGTTACATGGGGTACTTCCCAGGCCTCCTTGGGCCTGCGGGTACACAGTAATATAACACTGTGTTTAAACTCATTTTGGAAATGAAAACTTATTTTCCATTACTATACATACCAACATACAACATACATAATGAATAAGTCAATGAAATACCTCAACAAGTAAATCTAATTTTCAAATGCTAATGATACAGGGTTCTAAACGGCAGTTAAAACATTAAGCTAACAAAACACCATGAACCATCTGCGTTAGAAGCGGTCTTCTTAATAACAATTCTATATATCAACCCAAATATATTATTGCTCTTTCTGGTTACCAAGAGTAAATGATCACTTTTGCAGGTAACTGTAGGACAAACATGCATGAGGACATGCATGTTTGTAACTTGAGAAAACAGAGAATACAAATATTTTTGGCATATAGTCTAATACTCAAAATAAGAAAAGCCTAAATATTATTAAAATAAATGGGGAGGGCCCTTCCTGGTGGCGCAGCGGGGTAGGGCACAGCACTGGAGAATCTGAGGCCGCTTCCGCATGAGTTCGATTCCTGCCTGCCCCGGAGGTGACCACATGGCGCGGCAGACCTCTCCTGGCCCACCCGCTGCTCCCCTCAGCAGTGTACTTCGTCGATCTGCCTGTTCTGCTCCCCGCTCTGTCTCTGGTGAAGCCTCTCGCCGCCCCTGAGCCTCTGGTCTGTACCCCAGTTCTGTATGCACAGGTAAATGAATCTTTAAAAAAAAAAAATAAATAAATAAATGGGGAAACATAATCATTGAATGGACTTCTGGTAAGATATGGTATCAAAACCCCTGGAAAGATGAAGCACTCTGAATGGGATTTTTTTTTTTCCAGAAGACTCAGATGTTGATATAACTCAAATGCCAACAGCTAAAAATTGACATCCTTCGCTTTGACCACATTTCATTTACAGTATACTGTATACAGTATAGTAGTATACTAGTGACACAAGGTTTTGACCTGCTGACATTTAAAGAAAAGTGACGATCAAGGAATCCCATACCATCTCAGAGCATACATTTTATTTTTATTAGCAATATGATTAACAGGGGTTTCCTAATGGGTTGGTTTTTAGGGCTACACAGCTCTCTACTCCTCAGGGTCATTATTGCCTAAGGACTCAATGATCATTTCCCAGATCTTCCAACAACTGCTTCTACAACCTAAAGATGGACTTGCTCCTGCTCTGACTCAGCACAGGTAACACAACTCCTCGTAGGCTCGTGAGTGTCCATGTTGTGCTACTTGAGAAGGCTGTGATCAGCTCCTTTTGCTTAAAACCTTTGACTACAGAAGATTTAAGTAGAGAAAGATGATCCAGTAAACAATATAATCATCGAAGCTGTAAAAAACAGAAGAGTCTTCAGGGTAGATCCAACAGGGTTTCGTTTTATTTCCCAGTCAGACAACCACAGCATGGTCAGAACTGAGCTAGCTGACCCAATGTCCTCGCCCCACCCCCACCCCCCAATTTCTGAAGCAACACGTGCCTCTTGGCGGGTGCAACATGACCCCCTTCCTGCAGGCCAGTGGAAGAGGCAACAGTATGTTTATGGTTTCCACCTCAACTCTGGAAGTTTTCACTTTACAGCAGGGAGGAAATAACATTCAAAATGACCTTGGTAAAAATAAACAAAAAGATCTGCTATGCACCATGAAGACAAGAAACCTTGTTTCTGTTCCTTTACCAGAAAGAAACAGGTCTTTCCTCTAGTAAAGCAGCTGTTAGGGGTTTCCTCTCAAGACTAGACAAATAGAAGATGAAAACGGCCGAGTCAGAGGTCAGCAGAGGTTAGTGTGTGAACAGCCACGTTGGACCTGGTTAGGTTCTGGGCTCGGTGGTCCTAAAGCCAACCCACAGGAGAAAAGCAGGCTGAGGGGAAAAGTCATGAAAACACAATTCACGGCCCAGGGTGTGACACAGGGATCTGTCAGGTCCGGTTATAGTCACACAATTAAACAGCAATGGAAGGAATGAAAAATAAAGTCCCAAGACAAGAGAAAGCAGTTGAAACAACAGGTATGGGAGATTATTCATCCTGGAGAAGAAGCTTAGTAAACAGCCTCCAGACAGGAGGGGTCAACCAGAGAAGAGATTCTCCTCTGCTACTGAAAAGAGAGCTGGAAGCAGCTGCATGACGCATGTGTGTGATGCTTATCACAGTGGCAATAATGACACAGGCACGCCTGGTTTTATTGGGCTTCGCTTTATCTCCCATGGCAGGTACTGCTTCTTTACAGACTGAAGGGTGTGGCAACCCTGTATTAAGCAAGTTTATCAGCACCATTTTTTCAAGAACTGGTGCTCACTTTGGCCTGTGTCACATTTAATTAAGACATGCACCTTGTTTTTTAAGACCTAATACAACCGTCCACTACTAAACTATGGTACAGTGGAACATGGCTTTTATAAGCACTGGGAAACAAAATCACTTGACTCACTTTTTTACCACATTTGCTTTACTGTGACATTTGGACCTGAACCTGCAATACTTCTGAGATGAGTGTCAAAGTTATCTACGACATAGGTATCCAAAAGAGTAATGAGTAAGTAAACTCAGTCAGTCTAACAAAAATGATGATACGAAAAGTATCAAGGTGGTTAGTAAGCACGGGCCAGTCAGTTAGGCCACAGGCTGGCGTCAGGTTAACACTTACACAGCAAGGGTAGCATGCAGGCATTTGGAGAAGTCATTGTGGTGCCCAGGGGCAGGCGATCACCTTTTAGCAATTGGCAGGAAGTCTTCCAGTTCGTTTTAACAACTGGTACCGCAGCCCTGTGCATGCTGGCCGCGCCACCCTCGGCGTTGGCATGGCAGCGGCCAGCAGTGCCAAGTTCTCGTTACATGTCAGGCACTGCAGAGCAGAACTCGCCCACAGCTCCCAAGTGGACATTACTGTCGTCTTCCTTCTACCCATAACTTGCCCAAATTAATTCTGCTTGCAAATGAGTCCTGACACTCAATCTCAGCCCTGTTTGGCAGCAAAACCTGGCAAATTTACAATGTATCATGTTGTATCCCAAGACCAGGTATTCATATGATAGAATGTTTAAAGGGGAAAAGCAAGACAATAAACTAAATACAGATTATGCTTGACTTATGATGAAATGTTTCTTTAAAATTTCCAAATGCTTTATGATTGTATCACTTTTATAATGAAATAAAGTTTGGTAAGAAAAACTATATCATAAGGAAAATTTTATGACAGGTTTCTAAACACAGGAAAGAGTTACTGAAATTAAAAAAAAAACACACAACAACCTGAAGATGCAGTATCCCCTCCCCAAACAGGATGCTTCTCATCTATCTGAAATGTCAACAACTACTCTAACGAATAAACAAAATCACCTATAAATTATAGCCTTTCTAGCACTAGGATTCTATAAGTCATTATCAATTCTATTGAACAACAACAAAAAATCATTTTAAAAATGGCAGAGAAATCAAGGCATTCATTCATTCAGTTACTATATACTGCCTGCCTGCTCTGTCAGGCATTCCGTTAGCTGCTAGAGAACCCCAAGTTAGTCTAGAACCTCCTAGAAAACCCCAAGTTAGTCTAGAACCTCGTCTTCATGGAGTGCAAAGCAAAAAAGGCAACTACTTCTTGGCCAACAGCACTGTGGGCAAGGCGCAGGTTCAGGAATGGCTATCAGGGACGTAGGTGCAATCTAACAGGGAAGGCAGGTGTAATGCAACTCATGAATGGATTTCTCACAGAGTTTCCACATGGGTTTACTCTCACCTGGGCCAAAATCAACAGTCAAACAAGAACCCTGAAGGAGTCCGATGGTTCCTGGGAAACTACCCTATGTCCTTGGGGTAGTTTCTACGTTATCTGCTAGAATGTCATAGTTCATGAGGCCCTCCAAGACAGACATAATGATTGAGCAGATAATGAACAATTTCTAGGAATTAGCCAGTCTTGAATCTTATGGTTAAGGAAAAAAAATCTCCTGTTTAACCAAACTTTGAGATGCCAATTGTAAAGCCTTGTGAATGTCACATTATATACCTTAGTTTCCAGAACATACGCGACCACCATCATCACCACTGTGAACACCGCAAGGCTCTTTGGGAGGTCTTCCCTGAGAACCTCCTCCTGATCTAAAAACAATCTGGGGCTCAAAATGTTACATAAATGACATTTACTTGGAAGGTACAGTGAGGATTTTTACTTCAAGGATATAAAAAAGATTTGCATTCCCAACAACTAGAAAGATGGCTGAACTCTATGTTACCTTCCTATAAATAAACATCTTCTTGAGCCACACACACACACACACCCTCCCCCCCCACACACACACACACC